ATAAGGTAGTAATCCTATTTTAATTACATTTGTATTACCTTGTAATTACATGGTAATAAGGGTACCATAAAAGAAAGCGTTACCGAAAATACAGCAAAACACGCAGCTGGTTCCATTTGGGATCAAATTAATTCCAAAGGTTCATCAGTTTGAGAGTTTTCATTTAAAGATTCGTTTCTGAGTTTTTTTCAGATCAATCATGACTGCTGGAGACGTCAACTGGAACTGTACGGCAGGCCCTTTTAACATAAAACCAGCTTTACCACCCTGACATTTAAGAAATCTGAAACAGATTTATGACTAGATTAGTTATTTAAGACATCTCTCATTACATCCTGACTAGTACAAATGAGTCCGGTTATGTTTTTATGGAGGTTCCAATCTAATTTATCTTAAAAGGATGTTGTGACTAATCAAAAGTAACTTTACGTTTGTTTTGCCGAGTCATTGTTTGCTTTCAAGATAAAATTACAATTACAATTAAAGATAACTTAGATGACATCATTATTCGAGATATTTTTAGAGACCACACATACAGATCTGACTAGTGTAAATTAAGTTGCAGATATCTTGAACGCAAATAATGACACGACAAAACTAGAATTTGACGAGTCGAACTTCCTTTTAAGATGTRGAATTGTTCCGCTGACTCGTCAGACGTGCAGATATTTAAATTTACCTTTCARGATAGTTAAATAGTTGTTCCTCATCAAAACTAATTTTGAAAAACGCAGAATGGAATTAGTTGGTTGAAGCTGATTTTATGTTAAAACGGCCTGCCGTACAGAGTGGCAACAGTTTCTCAGCCTCAGGTGAAACACTGTGCCATAATTCAATAAATAAATCATTTGCTCAGCCTGAAAGTACTTCAACGGACAAATGACTCAACTAATGACGTCTTATTTAACTAAAACTTCCTGTTAATTTTTGCTTGCTCGTGATAAAAAACGAACGGCTGCAGCAGTAAAAAACAGAACTAAAACCAGCTAACAGAGAGGTTTGAGCTGACTCTAACGAAGAGTTTGATGGAGTAAGACTGTGTGAAGCGCTGCCGTGCTGTTTATACGCAGCTCTCTTCCTTCCATCGCGCCTCCTAAGTACTCTATTACCTCGCTGCCACTGAGAACCAACTCTCCAGTCCTCAGTGATTCATGAGAGGCCATTTTCTTTTGCCGAGTGAAGCCATTAAGATCTCGCCACCGGGCATGGCATGTGGCTCTGCACCTGTCTCAGTCTCTGTGCAGAAAAAWAAAAWAAAAAACACASGATGTTTTCAACTCTGATCCAGAAGTTTGCAACTCAAACMTGGACTTCCAGGAAACAGAAGGTTTTCAGCTGCAGGTGGAACAAAAGATGCACGAGCTTTGCAGCAAATAGATAAAAGATCGAGTCTTTTTTTTTCTAAATGTTTGGTTGCTTCAGTGCTCAGAGGTGTGCCTGATAAATCAACACTGGTTTATTTGCTTTAATGTTTARTATTATTGCTTTAATCCAACAAAATTAGATTATTTAGCGTGTTTAAATGAACTAGGGAAATTGCGTTTCCTGCAAAAAAGCTTGTGTGAATGCTAAYTGCTGAAAGCTTTAGCTGAAGTTTAATGCAAGTTCAATGGAAATGTCAAAAAAGCATAACCTTCTTAAATTTGCAGAAAGTTTATGTAAGCACAAAAAAGTAGAAATTAGCAAAAAAAAAATAGCAGAAAGGAGCAGAATTATAGCTGAAATAGCACCAAAAAAGCTCAAATTAGCATAAAAATAAGCTAAATGTGGCAGCCACAAGTAGAATCTAGACRTGGGTTTTTACGATGTAAAAACAAGTGTGCATTGCCACTGCAGCAGTGTACTTGCAGAATGAAATGTGACCAAGTTCAAATGTGTTTTCTATACTAGCTTGTGCCTGTCACGTCAGCAGGTGTTTGTAATTAAGGTAATTGTGTGACAATATAAAGTTGGAATATATTTTTTGTTGAAGTTGCATTAGCTGGGTTTTGAACCTTGATCTCCCACAGGAGCTGTGGCAGAAGGTGGTGGCAGGGGTTGGTTTGTATGTGTGCAGAAAGAGGCCACATTGCCAATACAATTATTGACACTAAACTRCATAATATTACAACAATAGAGCAGTATTAAGACAATGATATCGTAAAACATCAAAATACAATCATATTAATATTGTAAACACTGAACTATTGAGATTAAATATAAAAAACTATGGTGCAGTACCAAGTTGAGTACAGCTGGGGACAGTATTGGACATTACAAGGCCCCATTGATTCCCATTTTAGGAATTTGGAAATAAGTTTCAACATTAATATTTCAAAACTACAAGTTGTACAGGTACCAAAAGGCACAGCAATCATTTGGCATAGGACCTTTACAGATAGAAATTACAATGGCAGCTGTAGGACAATGTAGACAGGAGCACTGGACTTTCAGAATGAACTTTGACCAAGTTCAAATGTGTTTTCTATACCAGCTTGTGCTGGTATAGGAGATGTGGCAGAGGTCAATCCCAAGGATTGGATTGTATGTATACAGAAAAAGTTTACCTTGCCAATGCAATTATTGACMCTTAAGTGCAATATATTACAGCAATAGGACAACATAAAGACAGTATTACAGTAAAACATCAAAATACAATCATATTAATATTGTAATCACTGAACTACTGAGTTTAAATATTATGAAACTATGGTGCAGTACCATATTGTGTAGATGCAGCAGGGGGCAGTATTGGACCAATACAAGGCTCCATTTACTGTCATTGTAATTTATTAAACATTAATATTTCAAAAACTATGAGTTTTACAGGCACCAAAAGGCATAGCCATCATTTGGCATAAATTACAATGGCAGCTCTAGGACAAAGTATGCAGGAGGAGAAGCATGGCAAAGTTGAGATGACTTGGATGGGAAACGAATCACAATAGTGTGCATTGCATTGACAATGAACACTGATTAGCACCCAGATGGTAAAAGTGTTGTAAAAAATTTAAAGTTGGCAGAAAAAAGAATGAAAGTACAAGTACATTTTAGGGGGGCTCCAGCCCCCTTAAAATAGGCCTAGTGACGCCACTGGTTGGCAGTAAAATTTCCTTTAAAYGACACCCTTACATTGGATTGCTTTTGAACTTGAACCCGAGAGGCGAAGGGAGAAGGCTGGATTAGCCGAACACAGCCGAAGTGCTGACTAAGCAATAAAACCAAACTGAACTCAGCAGGTTTCTGATTGGTTTACAGAGAAGACACAARATATTAACTGGAAACAAGAAATATTAAAGCTTCTTAATGTGTTCAGTTTCAGAAAAAAAAGCTTTTTTTAGTTTGACTTTCTTCAGCTGCTCGAGGAGGTTTTGATTTCTGTCAGCACAGCTCTAAAGTGTGCCTCTCTGATGGTATGGGGGTGCATTGGTGCCTTTTTTGGCAGCTTATSTCCATCGGTGCAGAAAAAAACAGGTTTTAGAACATCTGCAAATGAAAAAATTCAAAATATTTTTAGATTTTGGTTCAGAATATTCAGGCTCAGTTAAAAAATATAATTAGTATTTCTTTTTTTCTACCCATTGTTCTGAACCAGAGCCTGTGATGTGGACCCTGCCCGCCTGGTTCTTTCCGGACCCTCCTCCTCTTCCACGTATTATTTCAGTTTCAAGCAAAGCGCTGAGAGGCTGACAGCCTGCTGACGTCACCGAGGTTCTCCGGCAGCTGAGGAGGAGGAGGAGGAGGAGGAAGAGGAGGAGGAAGAAGAGGAGAGGGAATGAGAGCTCTGGATGTGGAGGTCGGACTGCGGGGCTCGGAGGACCGCGGTCTTGTTTTCTCCGGGACACTTTGGACCCTTTTGAGTCTCTGTAAGTCCAGCAGAATGTGTGTTTGTGCAGAGAGCTGCTGTGTGTGTCTGTGTGTGTCTGTGTGTGTGTAAACAACTTCACAGCTCCCGCGGCTTGTTTCTCTCAGTTTCTGGTGGTTTTTGTTCGTTTATTTGTTTATTTGGTTCTTTCCGGGTCCGTTAGACTCCCGAACCTGACCGRAAACTTTAGTTGCGCAACTCTGCTGCAGACGTGTGGAGTTAATTTAATTTAATTTTTATTTTCTGTCACTTTTTAATATAAAACCAGCTTTTTCTTGTTGTTCTCTGATTTTAATGAGCTGCTGTTTGTTTGTAGAGCCGCTCTGTTCTTTAATTTATTCTTTTATTAGAGAAACTTCAAACAAAAAGACTCAAACATCTGATCAGAAATAAAACAGGTTTTATTTTTAGGGAGTAAATAATTGTAATCTGTTATATTCCAACAATTTAAC